TTCTGGGAGTTGAAGTCCACACCTCTTAAAGTTGATAAGGTTGAGAAACCCTGGCCTAGATTATTATTTTTTAACTGGCAAGTCATCCATCATAACCTAGCTCATTGCCATCCAACAGGATCGTCCCTATTGGAACCACCACCATTTTTTTTTAAGGTGGAGGACCCTTTGGTGGACAGACGTCACATTTCCTATTTTTGGAGCATCAACAATCAGCGGGTGGAGCGACATTGCAAAGAGGGAGGGAGAACATTTTATGAGGACTTGCTGGACCCCCGTTTTCTTTTGAAACTAGGTTTTCCAACAGTATTTGGGGTTTTTCGTTGTTGGTAAAGAAGGTGGAAGAAAGGAGTCTCCTGCTATGGTGAGTTGGGATATGAACCGTTGAACACAAAAGTCGAAATGGAAAAGGGGGCCCAGGAGCAAGCTTTTCCAGCTTTGTCTCTTCCAAAAATGTTATCTTAGAGAAGCAGGTGGCAACTGACGAGCAAGGCAAAATGTGTGTGTGTGTGTGTGCGCACACGAGTCAATTGTGTACCCTTTCACTAAGCAAGTGGGAAGCCTAAAATAGCTGCCTGGTTTGACAGGGATGGACAGGACAAGTTGGTGAGTGTGCAATTGGGAGTTTCTGAAATATTCAGATTGCAATGGGGGGGGCCTTTTCTTTTAATAAAGCGCGCCCCTGTCCCGGCCCACCTACCCTCTCCTTTTGATTTCCTGCCTGCCTTGTGCTCTCACAATTCCTCTGGGTACCACTGGTTCAGTTCCGCATTTCTAAATAAAAGTTTGGCGGGGGGGGGTTGTTTGTTGTTCCCCACCTCCATGCATCTGCTCAGCCACATCTGCTGCAAACGGGTAGAAACGCAAGTTTTCCTTCCCCTGGGTGCCCATGGCCTCCCTCTAGCTTTCTGTTTTAAAAAAGCTCTCCTAAAAACAAAAACTTTTACAAGCTGAGCTGCAAATTGCTTGTTACTGTAAACGCCACGCGCATGCAAGCAAACCAGCGCCCGTCAAGTCACTTGAATTAATGAGAGATGGGGAGAGGCGGGATGCTTGTGTTTTTTGGGGGGGGGGATGTTTTTTAATTTTATTTCTGCTTTGCATTGTGCTAAACGCAGACCTCCCTGAGAACCCGCTCGCATTTGTGAAGTGCTGTATACGGAGTTAAGCACTTAATAAAATTACACTTCACAGGAGGCGAGACTGACACGTTGGGTCCAGGGCCCAGATTGTGTAAAGCGACGTTTAGTGGATAAATATTAGCTAGCCTGGAGCAATTTCTTCTCCCCAACCTTGTTTGTGTTTTCCTTACTGATGGTGTTTAATAGGAAGAAAACAAGGCACCTACCCACCCGGCCGGCTTCTCTTTCAATAGACTTCCGTGGCGCCTTCATCTTCACCCGCCCCCCGCTGGTTCTTTCGGTGTGCTGCTAATGAAGTGCATAAATTTTGCATACTGAAAACCAAAGTGTTGGGGTTGGGTTGTTAGAGAAAGGTGGGTTGATTGGCAGAGCGCCTAATGAACGGTAGATCTGGAGCTACGGGTGTCTGTCTCTAAAGCAGTGTTTCTCAACCTCAACAAGTTTGAGACATGCGGACTTCAACTCCCAGAATTCCCGCCAGCAT